TCAACTGTCTTGTCTGGTCTGTGGAAGTTGCCCTTTTCATTGAGTGGCAGTGTTTCGGCCCCCCTAAGCCTCGGACCTCAGGGTCTGCCTGTGAGGTTGCTGAGCTCCTTAGAGGGAGGAGGAAGCAGAGTACTGATTACTACCTCCTAGAAGAGATGTGACTGTGAGAGGGGTGGGGGGCAGCTAGGAACCCCTCTGCTCTTGAAACTCTTAAGGGACAGAGACCAGGTGTCCATCTGGGAAACCATTTTTATGTATTTCAGAATCTTGCTTAGTTTTCTTTGCAATTAATATGGGGGGATGTATCGAAATGGTGCGATGAAGAATTACCCACCTTCAGCAGGAAATTCCACAGTTCCAATTCATTTAGTTAAAATGTCTTAGATATTCCTTAACTACTCTTACCACCTGGCTATTGTCTGTCTTCCTCTAATACTTCTCCTCACAGCACTAGACAGTACCTGTCCTTGTATTGTGTATTGTGTGTGACTCTTCACTAGGACTAAGCTCCAGGAGGGCAGGGTGCGGTTTTCTTTAACTCCGGTGGGGGACGGCACCTGGCCACATAGTAGATGCTGGGCATTGTTTCCTAGGGCTGCCGTAACAAAATGCCACTGTGTGGTGTGAACCGGCAGACGTGTATTCTCTCACAGTTCAAAGTCCAGCAGTCCAAAATCAAAATGTCAGCAGGGTCGGTTCCGTCTGGAGACTCAGGGAGAAACCGTTCCCTGCCTTTCTTCTAGCTTTGGTTTTGGGCATTAATCCTTAAAGAGTCTCTTGGCTTATAAGCACATCACTCCAATCTGGCCTCCATTTTTCAGTCTCTGTGAGTCCTGTTCTGTCTCTTACAGAGAAGAGACCCTTTTTGTACTTAGGGTTCATTTCATTCAGAATAATCTCATTTTAGTTAATTACATCTGCAAAGACCTTATTTTCAAATAAGGAAGTGTATAGTCTTAAGTTCCTGATGGACATTAATTTGGGGGGAGGGGCACTGTTCAACCCACAACAGTGCTCAATAAATATATGATGTACGAATGAATGAGTTCAGAGTCATTGTAGGCTATAAACTCCTTGGGTATTTTTCACTAGTCCTAGTAATTGCTGCAGCAGGTAGAGGTTGAGAGGTCAGTCTAGTTAGTTGCTGATTGCTTGGGCTCCAGTTGTGGTTCTGAAACCGGAACAGTCGGTGTTGGTGCTGCTTGTCGCCACCAAAACCCAGAAGCAGGTATGGGGATTGGATCTTTACGGGCACTTCATGCAGGTGGCCGGCAATCTGAGAAGATGGTGGGTGTGTATCCTAACAGACTGGCTTACATTTCCTTTCAAGCCAGCCTTTTTTATAAGGAGGAAGAAGTGTAGGTAAGGGATTTGGAATTCAGGAAAGAAGTTAGTGAGATAAAAGCTGCAGTCTGGTAATTTCCCTAACATTCTTTCATCTGCCAACCATTTTATCTGTTTTCTTTATCTGTGTCCTAGGCATGGACTGCTCTCCCTGGAACCCAATGGCTCAGATACCTCTTTGATTGCTCATGGTCTCTTCTGGAGCTCAAAGGTCAATCGCTAGTGGTCTCCTGGGGTCAGGGTGGGCCGTACCTTCCGCTCCTGAAACAATAGCTCTTTACATGCATTAACTACTCAGCTTATTAACTATTACCTTAAACTAGAGTTTTCTAACTCCCGAGTTCCCCATCAGTTTTGCCATTTTCTAGTTGTGAGATCTTGGGCACAAATTTGACCACTGTAAGCCTCAGTCTCCTCTAACAAGGAGAAACAATGGGAAGTGCCCAGTAAGTAGTGGCTGTTATGCGTCTGCAATTATTTCAAAGCACTATACATATTCAATTAATCCCCCGATAGTCTAGGAGGTAGGTTTATTATTATTCTCAGTTCATTACAGAGGAAACTGGGTTTGTTTCAGCAATGAAAAACAGAGCATATATGTGTCAATTTGTGAAGTCCCTGGCACATAGGGCTGAGAAACTCTTAGTTATAACAATATAATGTGACTTAATCTCATAACTCCAAGACTCCTCTTGCAAATCTATTCATCATCAGAAAAGAAAAATGTGCACGGAGGCACTTCTATTGCTTACGTGGTCATTGTCGCTGAGCGGGGGCTGGTCCCAGGAAGACCAGGCAGGATGCTGGCCAAAGCAGGCGGGGCGGCGGTGTGTTTGGGCAGTCAAAATGCAGTATGTGCCCCAATGCTGCGGGAAACATTAAACGAGCGCCAGGGTGTGAGGGTGCTAAAAATACAACTCCTTTGGAACTGTGTATGGGCTGATTCTTATTACCTTCTTCCCCATGACCACTCCTGTATGTTAGAGCAGGGGATGGATGTCCCAGAAGTATTATATATAGCAAACAGAATGTCTACATGGGCTACTTCGATCATGTTTTAGTGCGTTGGAATATTACTTAAGATATTGCATTGTTTTCACCTTTTAATAACACTCCTCCCTGCGTCAGGTAAATGTCCACTTTGTTTCTTGCTTTTTTTTTTTTTTAAGATTTTATTGGTTATTTTTAGAGATGGGGAAGGGAAGGAGAAAGAGAGGGAGAGAAATATCATTGTCTGAGAGAAACATCCACTGGTTGCCTCTCTCACACTCCCAACCAGGGACCTGGCCTGCAGCCCAGGCACAGGCTCTTGACTGGGAATCAAACCGGTAACCTTTCAATTCATAGACTGGCACTGAATCCATTGAGCCACACAAGCCAGGGTGCCTTGTTCTTTTTTTTTTTTTTTTTAAAGGCTTTGCATTTTCAGCTAAAAAAAAAATCACATTCTAACTCTTTAAAGCCAGCCCTCCATTATTTGCAAGTGTTTTCCATGGTTTATGCATTTCTGTGTTTGTTTAATGTATGTATTCCTGTAGACTGCATGTTCTGAGTGGGGCGGGACTCTGTGTTATTCATCTAGTGGCTAGCAAATCCTTAGTGAGTATTATCTGAACAAGTAGCTGAATAGATAAGCCACAGAGAAGTCTATCTGTTTTAGCCACTGCCTGCCTGTTACCATCCTAGGATTCTGGCTGCCTCCCTAAGATCTCTCCTTCTTGTTCTCAAATTACCTTGGTTTATAATACTAAGCACTGAGTTGGTCTGTAATATAAGTAACCAAACTTTGATCTGTATAATCACCTTTTCCCAAGGTATAGTCACTACCTTTCAATTTTTTCATAAATCTTTTAAAAATCATTTTATTAGTTGGATTTATACTTGAAACGCTAGATGATAATTTCAGAGCCAAAAATGTTTCTTTTTGTAAAATTGAAGTATTTCAAAAAACTAGGTGATGGTCCTCACTTTAAGTGGAAAGGCAAATGCAGCAAAAATTTTAAGGAATAATTTAAATAGGTCATTGGAGATCACTGTGAGGCTTCTAATATTTTTATGATTCCTTGCATTATAAATGTTACAAAGAATATAAAAATAGCTGTTTATCCTTATGAAAAGAATATCTCAAGTGTTAACTTTGGTGCTATTGGGGACTAGAACTGGTTGGGTTTTCTTGCTAAAGAAAGTTTAAGGAATGATTTTTACACCATCAATGCATTCACTCAGCTTTAGTCCTGGGAAGAACACAGGGCGGTAGTGGGACAGAGAAGGGAGGCATGTCGCCTCTGTGGGAAACTCCCTTTTTAGCTGCTTTAATTTCACATGTTCCTGTAGCACCGCCACCAGAGGGCAGAATGTGGAAGAGGACCAAGGTGAAACAGAAATACTTGGGTTCAGAATGCCTGCAGAAACCTCGAGGACTGAATCCAACCCTCATTTTATCAACAGCTAATTGTGGCCCAGAGAGACTAATGATCTGGTCGAGGCAGCGCTGGCAGATACATCGCCCCCTCTCCCGATAATTTCGGGCTGGGGCCCCTCGGCGATGACTTGTGATTCGGCACTATGTGACTGAGAGCGCACCCCGAAATGACGCGGCCTTTGGAGAGTCCCAGCTCAGCGCTTGCTGGCTGTGTACACTTAGGCTGGTCACTTCGAGACTCTAAATCTTTTTCATCTCTGAAACAGTAATAGCATCTACCTCATAAAGTGGTGGTAGAACTAAGAATGCACGTGTAGTGTTTAATACAGAGCCTGCGACTAAGCTTAATTTTTGTGAGTGATGATAGACTTGTCGGATTTTGGATTTCAAATCTGATGTTTAGAACATGGACAGAATCGGTTTCAACTATTGTGCTGTCTTCTCGACTTTCTCATCATTTCAGAAAAAAAAATTGCAAATCCCCTCCCCACCCCCACTACATTATTTAAGGAACAGGTGTCTGGTACATATTTTGTTAACTGTGGTGGCCTCCTGCAGGGTAATGGAGATGGCTTTATTCAATAACCTCCTGAGTAATTTTTGAAATTTCCATTAAATCTTGACTAAAGTTGGATGCAAAAAAGAATGACTAAAAAAACCGCAAGTAGTTTTTTGTTTTGTTTTGTTTTGTTTTTTGCTTTTTCCGCCGAACACTTGACCACTGTCTGGGGCTTCAAGTGAAAATCTAGACTCGACCTGCTGTAAGTACCTGCTGTGCCCTCTTCGCCGCCTGACGAGCGCGGCTGCTGGCGGACCCGGAGCGCTGGTCCCTGAGGTCCGGCCTGTGGGTGATCTCCGCAGGAACCAGGTTTCTGGGAGCAGGCTGGGGTCTTCCCTCTCCCTGTAGCCTCAGCGAAATCTCAGGCAGTCTTACAAAAGCAGTTTCTTCACTAAACGGGTAACAGAAGGCGAGTTGCCATTTGCTTAATGCAAATAATGCTCGCCCTAGAAACGTGCAATGTGGCCTGTAATTGCCAGCGTGTGCGGTCATTTTGATTTTTACTTGGCTACGCTCTAGCCAAAAGGAAAGGCTCTAGGATATGATAAAGAGGTTTCAGAGAGCCTAGAAGCAACCCCTTTGCTCCCAATGACTTGTTCTCCTACAGCAAACTTCCAGGACTCATCTTTTCTGTGCTGCCACCGGGAGGTGTAAGTTTGGGGTGCGGGGTAATGGGGGAGGCAGCATTTGACTTGGCTTGGAGTTTGCCCCAGAAGAGTAACTTTTTTGAATGCAGAGAGGTGGGGTTGCAGGGAACCTGTCATTAAGGGTTCTTATGGGTGGGACCCGGAGCCAGGAATGAAGAGGGAGTGGTCCGCGGGTGGGATCTGTTGATCAGACAAAATGTAGGGGCCCGGTCCCTTGAAGTTCAGCCAGTCTCTTCCTGAGTGAGGAGCAGGGCACGCGGAGTACTCTCCCAGGGGCACGTAGGGGAGAGAAAAGCGACCGAGACAAGAGTGGACAGAGGAAAAAGCCAGACATGTTCTCCATGACACAGTCCCCTGCCCTCGCTCCAGATGAGCGCTACCGCGGAGCCGGGGCCCAGAAGCGGGTAAGACCCACGGAGCCCGCTCTGCGGGCAAACTGGTCGGATGACCTTTCAGGCCGGACGAATTCAGGGTTAACCCCTCTTGCCTGTGCTCCCTCCTCCCTTCAGTTGCCTCCTTCTTTCCCAGCCCCGTGCTGAGCGCCCTGCAACCAGTCCCAGCGCTCACGCCTTCCTCCCCAGTAGCCTAGGTCCCGGACACTTCCAGGGATGCGGGCAGGGTTTTCTTAAGTGTTAAGTCTGGTTGGTCCGGAGACCCGCGCTCTCCTTAGCAGGGGTGATGGAAGGTCTCCTGCAGAGTCCCTCCTCCACTCTGCACCCTCCGCAAAGCAACTGGACTCTTTGCGCTCTGGGGCGCCTGGGGAAAATGCAAAAGGAACCAGAGCTCGGGGAAGCGGCCCCTCGGGGGTCCCCGGCTTCCTCTCTGCGCCCGAGTTGCCTACGCCCGGCACCTGGAAGGACTGCGCAGCAGCCTCGCCTGCCCCGGACGTAAGCCTCCTTCAACCGTTGCGCGCCTCCTTCTCGTCCTTTTCAGAGCCAGGACTGGCCCTAGGTTTCCCTACGACCAGCAGGTACCCGGAGATCACTGGACCATTCATTCTCAATGTTGGCATCTCAGAACCAGTTCCATTTGCAGGGTGCCGGAAATTCCTGTGTCCTCTGCGCACAAACTTTGGCTCCAGCGCATACCTGCCCGGGCACCGGGCGCCGGCTGCCGGAGGGCGCAGATTTGAGCTGCTTCAGGTTTGGCGGGCTCCCTGTCCTGGGAAAGCGCCTTGTCCTGGGAAGTGACGTCTCCTTCGGGAGCGGAAAGGTAGGGGATGGTCCCCACTGCCCTGAAGCCCCGGGACCTGGATCTAATTTGCAGCTGGTTTCTTTGGTGTCAGGAAGGTCCCTGCTGCACAGAGCCAAGGAGGGACTGGTGACCGCTCTGTGCTGTAGGGACTGAGGGCTGCGCCGGTGGGAGGAAGGTGGTGTGCGGGACCCCGCTGGGACTCATCCTCCGCCCCTGCTCCCGTGGCGGGCAACTTCACTTCTGGTGCCTCCCTCTGGGGCCAGTGGATGGCAGTGCAGGCGCTTCTTGCGCTGCTGGTAATTCCCGAGACCAAACCCCGGGAGCTCGCAGTTGGAAGCTCAACAGGAAAGCTGCAGAGCTGGGCGTTCCCAGGGAATCTGTCCCTGAAATTCATTAAGTGATGCTTTCCTTCCACGGGGAACTTCTGAGAACAATACACTACAGCAAACAACTCTTGCAGGACGTGTGTGTGTGTGTGTGTGTGTGTGTGTGTGTGTGTGTGTGTGTGTGTAATGTGCTGATGGAAGCCAAACTTTGTAAAGGAATGTCCAGCTGTTACCGGACAGGGAGCGAAGTCAGGACTCACCAGTTATCGTCATCCAGAGACAGACATTTTAGCTGAAGGTGTTGAAATGAAAGGCGATGCGAAACATTCATTTTTGGCATAACCCAGAGAGAATGAGAAGAAACAATGAATTTTTTTTAAGTTTCAAAATCAGTTTTTGTCTCAGTCACGATAGTATTTAGTACCTTGTTTGTTATCATTGGGTGCCAATAGTTTTGTCCTGTGAAATGACACTAAGAATCAGCCTCCGAAGCCAGGTTGCTGCGGGCAGAGGGGTGAGACTAGATGTCTGCCTAGACAAGTGCATGGGGAGGGCTGAGCAGCCGGGTTTTCCCCAGAATCCTTTCCAGATCCTGGAGAAGTGCATGAGGATGAACTATTTTTAGAGTGATTTGGGTGTGGAATCACATAAACCTCAAAACCTCAAGTTGCTGGAAAGCTTTATTTAGGGGAAGGGGCCTCTTCCCAGAAGGTTCCTTGCAGGATAGGATTGCAGGCCAATGATGAAAGACTCAGTTAACCTTCCAGGAGGTTAAAGAGACAAGGATTACTTTATTAATCTCACCAAGTACATTTCCAGGCATAGGGAAGCTTTTTTAAAGATACAAAATTAATCACACCAGAAACCCTCTTACTGCTGCAGAAATCTTAATAGGATAGCACAGAAGGATGGGGCCTCCGGCACCCAGCAGCTGCGCTGTTGTTCGGGGAGGCCCTGGATGTCCGCACGTCCCAACTTGATGGCCCTCGGTTGCCCTTCTCTATTGTTGGGGGCAAACGGGAGGTTGTAGGAGGAGCCCAGCAGTCCTGTATCTCCAGAGAATTAGCTTTGCCACTCTCTGAAACCTGTATTTCAGAGCTCCATCCTGTTAGTGAGGTATTCCGTTGATCATTTCCCTCTTTCCCTCGCCTCCAGACTCCCTCCAGTGAAGAATTGTGGCCTCAGGCTTTCTGACCATCCCTGCTGCTGGGGGAATGGGAGCTCCCCGACGACCAGGAAAGCTGTGATAGAAAATTTTTGCTGAAGGTGTCCAAGGGGGAAAGTTTTCTTTTTTTAAAATATATTTCATTGATTTCGCTGTTACAGTTGTCCCATTTTCCCTGCTTTATTCCCCTCCACCTTGCATACCCCCTCCCACCCACCTTCCCTTCCTTTAGTTCATGTCCATGGGTCATACATATAAGTTCTTTGGCTTCTACATTTCCTATACTGTTCTTAACCTCCCCCTATTTTCTACCTACCATTTATGCTACTTACTCTCTGTACCTTTTCCCCTTCTCTCCTCCTCCCACTCCTCTGTTGATAACCCTCCATGTGATCTCCATTTCTGTGTTTCTGTTCCTGTTCTAGTTATTCACTTAGTTTGCTTTTGTTTTTGTTTTAGGTGTGGCTGTTAATAACTGCAAGTTTGCTGTCATTTTACCATTCACATTTTTTATCTTCTTTTTCTTAGATAAGTCCCTTTAACATTCCATATAAGGGCTTGGTGGTGATGAACTCCTTTAACTTGACCTTATCTGGGAAGCACTTTATCTGCCTTTCCATTCTAAATGAAAGCTTTGCTGGATAGAGCAATCTTGGATGTAGGTCTTTGGTTTTCATGACTTGGAATACTTCTTTCCAGCCCCTTCTTGCCTGTAAGGTTTCTTCTGAGAAATCAACTGATAGTCTTGTGGGAACTCCTTTGTAAGTAACTGTCTCTTTTTCTCTTGCTGTTTTTAAGATTCTTTCCTTATCATTAATCTTAGGTAATGTAATGATGATGTGCCTTGGTATGTTCCTCCTTGGGTCCAACTTGTTTGGGACTCTCTGAGCTTCCTGGACTTTCTGGAAGTGTATTTCCTTTGCCATATTGGGGAAGTTCTCCTTCATTATTTGTTCAAATAAGTTTTCAATTTGTTGCTCTCCCTCTTCCCCTTCTGGTACCCCTATGATTCGGATGTTGGAACATTTAAAGATGTACTGAAGGTTCCTAAGCCTCTCCTCATTTTTTTTTGAATTCTTGTTTCTTCATTCTTTTCTGGTTGGATGATTCTTTATTTCTTTCTGGCCCCCTATTTTTTTTCTGTACAGTTTCCTTTATTTCACTTAGCACTGCCTTCATTTTTTCATCTAATTTGCCACCAAATTCAACCAATTCTGTAAGCATCCTGATTACCATTGTTTTGAACTGTGCATCTGATAGGCTGGCTATCTCCTCATTGCTTAGTTGTATTATTTCTGGAGCTTTGATCTGTTCTTTCATTTGGGCCTTTTTTTTTTTTTTGTCTCATTGTAAGTACATTACGTAGTGAAGGGCGGAGCCTTAGGTGTTCACCAGGGTAGGGCAACCTAAGTCGCTGCGCGTGGGGAAGAGGTCGGAGAGGGAACAATGGAACTTGCTGCGGTCTCTGCCGGATTTCAGTCACTTCCCCTGCTTCCCAAAAGCAAACTGGGTCCTTCTGGTGCTGATTCCCAGGTAGGTGGGCTTGTGTCCATTCTAGGTCCCTGTGGGTCTCTCCAACAAGCTCTCCTGTGAGGTTGGGAGTTTCTCTTGCTGCTGCCTCAACCCCCATGGGTGTTTTCAATCAGTGGTTTGAGGTTTTATTTCCCGGCACTGAGGCCCTGGGTTGGGAGGGCTGTCTCGCTCCCCAGGTGTTCCTTATTGTTTATCCGCACGTGAATGTGGGACCGCCCGCTCCACCAGCTGCTGCCTCTCCTGGTCCACCAGCCACTGTCTCCACAATCCGGCCGGCCGCAGCCTTGCCCGCCTGCTCCACAATCTACTGCTCTGCTGGGTCCTCCACTGCCGCTTTGCTGCTAGTCCTCTCTGCCTGGCTGCCCATCTCTGCCCCTCCTGCCGGTCTGAATGGGTGTTTCTTTAACTCCTTGGTTGTTGGACTTCCATACCATTCAATTCTCTGTCAGTTCTTGTTTTTTGTTTTTAAATTGTTGTTGTCCTTCTTTTGGTTGTGTGAGGAGGCACAGTGTATCTACCTACGCCTCCATCTTGGCCAGAGGTTGAGCAAGTTTTCTTTAATGTGCCACTATTGCCTTAGTAAGCTGCTCACCAAGTATGCATTCCTGTATCCTGTTTGCTCCCTCACTGTTCTCGGCATTCCACTGTCTGACCAGTGGGAAGTGGGGCTGGTTGGCTAAAGGTTACTGACCTCTATAGAATATTAGATGCACACTAAGCTCTCAAGGACCCCCCTCCCCCAGACTCCCTGTTCTTCACAATCTACTCAGACAAATGCACATATGTGCGCACACAGTTTTGTGTTTTAGAGTATTCGTAGAGGGTGAGAATGGAAGAAACCACAAGAGTGAAAAGTACCATAGGTGACGTGCCTTGGTGGATATAGTATGGATTTTGGTGTTAAATCTAAGGCCAAATTTCTTAAAAGCTGCAAAGCCCTGAGCCAGTCAGATAATCTTGCTGGGCTTTGATTTCCTTATGCATCAAATGTGGGCGCTACTACTGATGACCTATAAGGACACCAACAGGACTAAGGAAATGATTATGTCCTAGAAGTACTACCCATATCAGTTGTGCTTGCTCTGAAGGCTCCTTAACCTGGCTATACTTACGGAGCTGGTTCCATCTCCGACTCCGCGAGCCTCCCAGGCCTTGCTCCAAAGCCAGCCTTTGGTGAGTCTGTAGC